TCACGGCACACTGTCTGTATTACGAAGACGATTGCGGTCAAATACCACAAACCTTCTCATGTCCTCTACCTTTAATGACCACGTTTCAAAGCCATAGTGAAACGGAGCAAACTGCAGCAAAATACACTCGAACCTCAATTAATTAACAATCGGATATCGTGGCGGTGTCAAAGATGGCGGAATTTGGTGAGAGCTAATCAGGCCTTTTTGTCCAAACAGTGAGTATTATTATTATTAGAACACAAACATGGTACAACAAGGGCACCAAGAAATGTATAATAACATTGTGGAAAAATAAACGATAGGAAGTGGATAAGTAAGAAAGGAAAATCAAAAGAATAGCATGATTAGGAGGGGAGTCTAGGAGTAGATCAACAACGAAATACTCATTACCTTTCAGCAGTAGAAGATAGAAGGAAGCTACAGCATGACCGCCCCTGGTTTCGATTTTGAGCCATATCTGATAATGTCTAAAGCCACTGATTTGCGCGACCACATCCCAGGGAGTCTTAGTGAGCCCACGGATGCTTACTCGATATAACTATCATTCGTCCCACGGCGCCACGTCACACGCTAACCAACCTTCCGCTCATTCCATCCGGTCCCAGGGATAGTAAACAATGAACGACGCGGAAGCCGTTAGCACGACATGCAAAACACATCCAAGCCGGTGTTTCCAGATGACCTTACTGATTGAATGACGACCTCATTCATGCCCAAACACACGCTGTAGTATCTAAGATCTACTACTTACATGTTACAGCCGAATACGAGCGATGCTGTAGAGACAATGATGGTTGAACGCACAGATTAATTGGACGTCCTCAGCTCGGAGGCCAGGTTTCACAGGCGCAGAGCAGAACTCCTTGCATCGAAGCGCTGTGAACCCGATTCCTTTACGACCAGACTAACGTCACGACGGCGCCAAAGGCGGTCCAGACTGACACTGGCCACTCTGGCTTTCGATATGCGGTTCGAAATTTCATCACTCACACAACTTCCCAGACACGAACTTTTCGACTACTTCCAACGGCTCACCGACAAGGGTGAGCGCAGACATAGGCCCTTACCAATCTTGCAAAAGCACTTTGCACTTCGATGATGTAATGCACATACAATACTTACGAACACTAATCGTGATTTGAATAGCTTTGTATTATCTCACACTAAGACGATATCTAGGTTGAATAGCAGTTCTCCGTGTAGTAGATCTACACCAACATGACGCACCTTCTTCAAAGTTGTTTAAGTATGTCATCGATGGCAAAGTTAGTGATGAATAGAGAGATCGGGTAACATTGCCTAACCCCACCGCTGGTTTGGAACAATGGAGACGGGTGGTTGTATGCCCTCACTCTAGTTGAGGTGTTAGTATAATAATATTGGGCTTTCAAAATGTTGAGGAACTTCTCAGGTACGCCTCTCTCTAACAGACAATTCCAGAGTACAGCTCTGTCCAACGAATCGAACGCAGCACAAATGTCAAGAAACACAACGATTGTTGGCGATGTTCAAGGATCTGAGCAGAGAATGGGCAAATGACGTGAACGGAACTCGAACTGTTCGTCGTTTCCTCATGTGCTTTGAAAAGTCTGCGAAGTATGATAGCAGCCAATATTTTCACAGTGACTGGTAACAGACCAATATCCCGATGATTATCACATACATGATTTAGACCTTTTTTAAAGATGGGAACAAGAATGGATGCATTCCAGATTGATGGAACATTTTCAGTCTCAAACAATCTAGTAAGGAAACTGATTAGAGTCTATCCTCGACCCTAAAAAGAGCTGGGGGTATTTTAACCAGGCCGGGTGCCTTGTGGCGTTTCATAACTTGGAGTTCCTAATAGTTCTCCGTTCCGTTAGGTGGTCAGTGTTAACTGGCCATGAAGTGCGATACACAGAAGCTGAGGGTGCTGGAACCGCGAGTCACAAAAACTCCTTTCGAAGTGCCCCACTTAGCGTTCCAGACGTCTTTGAAGATTCCATATTAGATTTGTTTATTTGATATAGTGCACAGTGATACAGTATTATTTACTTGATTACGTTTCTAGCATAAATTATTGCTCATAATCATATCAATGTAATCACACTACTTTCGACATTTGATTTTTATAGTTATGTCATTTTACATGAGTTGTTTTCATTGGTAGCAAAAATTTCCATATGTCTGGTATATGTGTTGCGTCATTTCTATTACATGTGTTGAGTGTTGGTTCGATGTACAAAGGTTTAGTAATCAACCTCTCTCTCCACCTAATTAGGCGGATATATTTATGGATAGTTAGGAAAAAATGGCTTTACAAACGTTTAATCCTACACCAAAAATACGGTGGCGATATGTGGATGACACACCTACTGTGTTGAAATCGGAACATATCGACAATTTCCTCACAATTATAAACTCAGTAGTAAACGCAATCCAATTCACTTATGAGGTAGAAAATGAACAAGAAAAATTACCTATGTTGGATTGCAGAATAAGACGAAGAACAGACGGCGGCTTGGATACTACTGTCTACAGCAAACCAACACAGGATTAGTCAAATGTCTAAATGATGGAGCTAGAAAACTGACTAGTCAGAGCAAGAACCTAAACATGGAATTGAAACACGTAAAAGAAGCGCTAATAGTTAACAATTATCCTGCATAGTTTAAGAAATTCTTACGGACACACAAAAAGCAAAATAATAACAGTCACACGAGTGCGACTAATAACGACAACACGAGAAAAAAGGAGTTCACAGCCTCCATTGTATTACCCTATAAGGAGGGTACCTCAGAAACTTTATGTAGAATCCTCAACAGAGCTGGAATTAGAGTGGCATTTAAACCTACAAACTCACTCAGAGATGAACTTTGTCGGCTTAAGGATGCGATAGAACGAATTAAGCAAAATAAAATAATCTATGAAATACCATGTAATAACTGCGAGGTCAAGTATATAGGTCAAACTAGTCGGTCGGGGTCAGTTAGAATAGCCGAACGTGGCAATTTAGCTAAATATAGAATAACAGACCTAAATAATATAACTAATCTAGAAAAAAACTCGGCTATTATTATTAGGTTGTAAGGATGAACGGTTATCTACAGTATGGAATAGGAAAATTAAATTACGCAGAGTAGGATATGAATGAATTTGCGCTTCCTTAATCTGGCCAAGGTAGTTGTAGCGGAAACACTTGCTTTTTTTGAACACAACTCCGGTTGTTTCATCCTGACTGCTAATGCTTCTTCAGTTTGAACGATTCGGAACCGAGTACATTTTAGTGATTTGATCGATAAGCAGTACAGGATGGAAAACGACATATTCTTATTCACCTTATGATTCGTTCCAACCAGGTGTGCTAATAAAGAGTTGGTAATGGTCTTTACCACACCTTTACGTAACCACTCTTGGTGGCGTTCACGAGCTCGGGAAATTAAATTCCTAGAACAACAACCATTATTAGAGTGTGTGCTTTCCTTAAAAGCCTTGAGGCAACAGAAGCCTTTGCACTGATTAGATATGATGAAGTGAAACCTTGTTTAATATCTCTCTCCAGCTAATTATATTGGACTTAAGTAAAGTAGCTTTATCCCATCCTATTGTGAGGTTGTGTGTTAATGCAGGGATAGTAATAGCCATTTTTTTAGATTCTTAGGTGGAGAGAGATATTAATTACTGAATCTTTGTTCATCGAATCAACACTCAACACATGTAATAGGAATGACTCAACACCTAGACCAGAGATATGGAAAATTTTGCTACCAATAAAAATAACTCATATAAAGTGATGTAACTATAAAAATCAAATGTCGAAGGTAGTGTGATTACATTGATATGATTATGAGCAATAATTTATGCTAGAAACGTAATCAAGTAAATAATACTGTATCACTGTGCACTATATATCAAATAAACAAATCTAATATAGAATTAATTTCTACCACAGTGCCCAGGTTTTACACTTATAATAATGTCACTGAAGATTGTTTATCAGCCTACCAACTACCTCACAGACCGTCTCACGGACACCAGGCTTCTTGCTACCAGTGGCTCGGATGATCTGGAACATCTTCCGACGATTGCCAGATGCAGGGCTGCTTCTATTTCGCTCGCTTGTTCTGGCCACCAAGTTTCAGGACCACTGCAGTTCATATGTGAATACAACAAAAAATGTATAATGACAGCAAATTCATTAATCGGTTACAAATTCGCGGTGCAGAGAGCTTAAGTATTCGCGGAAAAAAGGTTAATTGCTTCCAAATCTACAAACCGTATTTTTTGTGAAGGCTAGGATATTGACCGGGCGCACAGAGCAAAGGAGGTCTCTTAAGGGACCACTTCCCACGCATTTGACTTAAAGTCTAATCCCCAAAGCAGTGGAGCAACATTAAGAGCTGCATTCCTATGGTTGCTAGTGACTAAAATAGGTTCATACGCCATTCGTTCCATCTGGAACCCATGGGGAACATTGGTTTGGTATCAAGGTTTTCTAACTCTCCTATGTGAATCATCGATCCGGTGATAGGCGCCGGATATTCGCTTGTGCCCTTCCACATCTGTAGAAACACATGAATGCAGTGAATAAAACTTCTCTGGTAGAGACTGTGGACATTAGCAGCGGATTTAGGGGCAAAGAATACCTCATACAGAGAGTGGGCGTCCTTGACGCACACAACTTACATCATAATACGTCCACGGGTGTTTGAGTACATAGTGTTCAATAAAGTGATGTTTTTACCCGGCATCTCTTTTGATGAGGGACAGGAATATCAGCTGACGAGTAAGTAATAGAGCTGTGGACTATCAACGTAGCTTATTTATTCATTTCAGTACCGCCACCTATACGATAAAAACACAGTCAAACCAGACCGCGCCTTTAGAATGCAATGGAATTCACCTGCATATCTAATACAATTCACATAGACTGGATTAATCAGGACGGTGACTATGCAGTATGCAAAAGTGTACATGCCAACACAGAACCCCGAAGTACGCAAGCAAAACAATGCTTTTTGTCAAGTGTGTAAATTTATTTATACAATGTAAAATAGGTCGCTGACCCATTGAGTATCCCTCCTACTTCTTCTTTTTTCCAATATCAGGTACACGAAGCTGTAAAAAATAATAATGATAACCAGAAGAAGAATGAGAATCAAGTCTAGTAGATAAGTTTGTCAATTATACGTGAACAGTATTCCAAACGTTTATGTATCAGTCTGTCAATTAAACTTGATGTGCAAATATGCAAAATGTAGTACTCGTGGTAAAGAAGACCATTACACCTGAACGTATGAACCAATGCATACGAATACAGAAGCCCACGAAATACACCATAAAACTGAAAACGATTGAACAAAATTTATGTATCCGAAACCCTTTTCTTTCTAGAAAAAAGATTCAAGTGTTTTCGTTCACAGATGTTCTCGGCAACATTCCACTTTTGTTGATTTCACGAATTGTGAAGACCCGAGCAAGCTGAAGCATTTCTATACACGGTTCTCTACAGTGTTCGTTTGAACAGCACCGCCATTGTGTGTTTCAGGACTTACGGTTATATACTAGATTTCTAACTTCTGATCTGGTTGTTACACAGACAGACTGAGTAGCATTCTCGAAAACCCTCGCAGTCAATACAAGCGAGAGGACGACACCGGACTGAGGAATGCTATTTCTCCCGGGGTAGTTTGCACACACACTTATATACAATGGAAATGCTTTGATGGCAACACAAAATTCACGTATTACAAACAAAAGAACAACCAACCAATGAGGAATTAGTATCGTTGAAAGCAGTACACGCGAGGAGGACAACAGCTCGACAATGATCAATTTGGATTTCTAACAGGCAATTTTCACAAACGTGCTTACTGAACCCTTTACTATGTATCATCAATTATCAGTGAACAAAACATTCTATGTACACGAATAACTGTTTGATTTCATGATCATTCAATTCAGGATCACTACTGAACATATGCACGCAGTCAGTTGCCCACAAATAGCTTGGTCTTTCGATATCCTTTTAGCTGAGGCTTTGATCACACCTAATCAGTGGGTAGCAGCTTTCTCTTTCCAGTTAACTAGGCACCAATTAGACTCATTTAACATACCATCAGTTAAGATCTGCGCATATGCTAAATAGTAGATGAATAGGATGGGTGCATAAATTAGCATCTCCAGGCTGCTCACATTGTACAGTATTAGTTTTCTTCGGGAAGACTGAAAAAGAAATTGGATTAGCATTGCACGTCTTATTCACATAGAAGCGTGAACACTGAGTCCAAACGACATACAGGCTCAACAATACACACTCACCATTTGAGGTTTCACATTATTCTCGAAATCCTTAACAGCGTTTTTTTTGTTGTTACTGCCACTATAGTTCCACTTACGTTTACCTCCAAATGATTTGAATGATTTTTTTGCACTGCGCTTAGCTTGGATAACAGCCATTAGCTCGTTATCAATATTTTCATCAGAACTGTTGGCAGAGGATGGTGGTGTGAAAAGTTCAGACTTGTCAGCTACTGAGGCCTTTCCGCTTTTTGGTGTTATACTATCATCTTCACTTTCAATCGTTCCATCACTATCATCATCATCATCTTCGTCGTCGAGTTCCTCATCGTCACTTTCGTCATCATTTTCCTCTTCGCTGTCTTCATCACTAGTTTCATCTTCATCGACATCTGACTCTTCATCATCATCATCATCTTGTTCACTATCCGAATCATAGTCATCATCATTCTGTTCAGCAGCAATGGATTTCTGTTTCTTCTCCTCAGACATGGCCAATGTCTTCTTACTAAGCGTCTTCGAGGTAACAAGATTATTCAGTATCGATGTCCCGCTGCCAGTCGTGTCGTTTTTCTGTGGTTGACAACGTACGAGGAAACCATCTGCTTCACTTTCGTCCTCTGACACATCCTCTGAAGATGATTCGGATCCATCATCATCATCAGCTTCAGGTGGAAGTTGTCGGACTAAAACTTTGTTATTCACCGAAGAAGCTGTAGTGGTAGTAGTATTGACGACTGTTGTGTCACAGGATGATTTTTTATCCCCTGCTGCTGGTACTAAGCGAGATTTTTCTTCCCGTAGCGTTTCTTTCACTTTTTCCTGCTTCTTTATCACTGGTGATTGGTTTTTATTAGCAGCAGCAGCTTCATTTGTCGGTTTACTACCTTCCTTGGACAGAGATGACGATTTTATTACAAAGTTGACGAATATTGGTAGACCACGAACAAGTCTTTTGTGTGTAGTTAAGAAGGCTTCCGCTGTGACATTTTCATTCACAAATGTGACGACGGCGTAGCTTCAAAATGAAAATGACAAAGTAAAAACAAATAGCCAGTTAGCAAAAACCGAAAATCAACATTTAGAATGTGAAATTAGACAACTCAGTGAATAAATTTACTCACTGTCCAATTTCGAAAACAATACAGTCGAGGCAAATGCTATGAAATGGTACTGTATAAGCAAACATTGAGTGGAAACATACACAAGTCAACACATTTCCTAAAAAAGAACAAATCTGTGTTGATATAACGGCCTCCGCAGAAACCATATTGGGAAGTAAGAACTATGATAAACAGCTGTTAGTTGGATGGGGACAATCGGCAGGAAGCCCCGAACCTAGGTTTTATGCTTGTTGGCACTCGACAGCAAGGCGTACCTGCAACCCCGACGGAACTTATGTTCCGCCTGAGATTCAAATCCACGTCACCCAGTTTTGTAGTCAGCGATGTTATCGCTGAGCAATTCGGCCCGCGACTGACCTCTTGTGGGACCGAGTTAGACACATTGATTGGTCACTGGAGGGTTGTTTAGTTCAAAGTGCTGATGAAATTCTATCGATCGTTTTGCAATGTGGCTAACGTGCAGCACTAATTATGTGTGTTGTTTGAAAATGGTAAGCCTAGTCACCGTCTACGCCGACGCGCAAAAGTTGGCTGAAGTAGTGGGGTTATGTAAAACGTTAAGGATGGTCAGGCGCAATTGTAACATCTGTCCATAAAGCCTGACTGTCGGTCGGAGTTACCTGAAAAAATGCCTGCCTCCTACTACAGGTTCAAATAATAATCAGGACTGATTTTTAGGAACTTTAGGCGATATGACTGACAATGCATCTCTGTAGTGTACATGCATTTTAGCCTTATTGTCACCTTAACTGTTATATAACATTTCGAAATTTCCCATATCTTTTCTTCCCTTCCTATAGCTTCTCATAACTTCCAATCATACCTCTTTTTCATTTTCTGTCTTTCGTCTCGTTGTATTGTATCTTGATATGAAGTGTGATACGTTGGAGGACCATCATGCACATAAGTCATGTTCCATGTTGACACTGATTGGAACAATCCACGTGCCATCCGACCAGTTTTTGAAATTGCAAACTTGCTTAGGCTTTCTGAAGTAAGCTTGTTCAATCACAGGTCCGAAGTGCACATCGCATTAACACTTAGCTAGTAATAGTACAATGTTGTTCGGTGAAAAACATCAGGATGATGACTGTTGGACCTCTATCTCACGATGTATAAGGTGAAATTTAGATTAACTATGCCAGTCGAACACGCTTGTCACATGCGAATCAATGGAAAGGATAAGATTCGCGTTTATTGCAAAGGTAAGTTAAAGACAAGACGTATTATAACTACACTCAAGACATCTGAGTATATTCAAACTCTAACTAATACTGATTACACAGGAAGGATGTCATCGTAGCTCAATAACATACACGTTAGAACAGCTCTAACCACATGAAAATATCTTCGGTTAACAAACCAGTCAACATTCAGTCCGAAGACAATCAATCTATTCACTAACATTGACGACAACAGCATCTCTTTAGAAAAGAAGACAGTCAATGAGTCATGTCCTCTTATCCTATCTGAAGCGAAGTCTCTAAACACGCAACGCTAACCTAGCTAAAGATATACCAACAAAAAACAATAATAATACGCTGATATTTAAAAAAAGTCAAACATACCCACAGGGTCGTCCATCTTTCGTCACTGGGAATTCAATATTACCCTTGGGGAATATATGACTGAGTTCACTTTTTGTAACAGACGAACCGAAGCCAGTTACAAAGAGTTGATTTTGGTTAACATACTGTGTATCAAGGTCATTTGTAAATGGTAGATGATTGGGATGGGCGGATACAGTCTTCCCACCAAACAGACGACCACAAATAGCTTTTCTTGCAGCCACAGCTGAGTCCATATCAGCATACTGTAGAAATGCAAATCTGGAGAGGGTGGGGAAATGTCAAAGTATAGAATAACGTTTAAACATAATAAAATACTGGGGTATTGTATACGACGACATACACGCAATCAACTATGGAAAAATAGCGTTCCCTATTCTTTACTGACATAAACTTATAGCAAAAGGCCTCAGTCACCTTTAAAGTGAAATGATGTGCGTCAATGTATAAGAACACCACAAGCAAATGATATACCATTCAGTCTAAGGCGTTATATGTTCTGGTTACATCTCTCCCTGGAAAAAGAAAGCAAAATTAGCTCACCTTGCCCTTGAATAATTTTTTTTCAAAGTTCCATATGTATAAAGACTCATTACATCCAGTTGTCGAAATCTTACTAATTTGAATGATTTTGTATTTGATGTCCGAAATGGAAATTCATTTAGCAATTTTATGCACACTCAGGCACTTGGCAAAGACTGAGGGCCTTACTGTATTCAATGCAAAATGCTTAGTGAACTTATCAACACTAACGAACTTGCTGTTTCTTTGCAGACGCAAACCTGCAACCACAATCAGTACTGCAGTCAACACACTTAGCGATAAAAACATACAGATGTCACAGCAAATATTTTCCTCTTGTTAGACTAAAATCTTGTACACGATTCGGAATTGAAATCCACTCAGCAACGTAGTGCACGCTCATTCAGTAGAAAATGAGCCATATCTAATGTGTCAAGGCAAATGATACTCTATCTGCCCAAACTTCGGCAGGTGGAGCGGTGTTCGAACCCGTGACCAATTGACCAAAGTCGTCTCGTTAAACCAACGAGTCACAACGAGTGAGCACTATTGTGGGAGTTGGCATTACTGAGTGACGGACCGGATCACCACACATCATATCAACAAATCATAGTAGAAATGGCGAAAAAATCAGGAGAATGAAGAAGAAAGAAGTCGTGAAACGAGAAGAAAAGGGATGAGGCAACAGTCAAACTCGGTATGATGATTAGGATGACGATAGTGCTCTTACATTTGCACAACTAAGATTGAGTAGTGTGCATTCTATCTTGGGACTCAAATCTACAACTACACTTGTAGAAGCATGAGAACTAACCGTTGAATAATCAGAAACTCGAAGTGGGAAGTTAGCAGACTCATGCGTCAGTGGCTGGATGAGGTCAATTGAATGAACAGTATCACTGGGATCCTGTATGCGCATCCCACAAACACAAGATACGTCTATCGCCCGAGATGCCGCAGCTTCGCCGATAACTATAGTTACTTTCAAAAGCTGCAGAGTTGGAACAGATCGAAGACGATGTAGTAGTACAAAAGGAGAGATGCGAAGAAAAATTACAAGGCAAAGATGTGGAGGGTTGAAAATGATCTCAGAGAAACTGAGTGCCGTGAGAACAGGTGCCCATACCATGCAGCGTTACTCCTTCCCCCTTGCAGTACTTGAAAGACTAACTTTTCGCAGGGTTTTGTAGGATTTCAGAGCTCAAGGAATATCTGCTCCGGTTCGATGACAGACGGTCTTCAAGGATGATTGAGATACAATTTTAAGTTTTTTGAATCCAGCTAAAAGAACCAGATCACCAGCATCAGAAAACCTCACGAAAGGGAAGACTGAGTCTAATCCCCTTTAGAGAAAGCAGTATCAGTATCAGCACTACTGGTTACCAGCAGTAAAAATCTCACTGATGTCTCACCGCCTTCAAGGCAGTAATACGACTTCGCACTGGGACACCCGCTATAACCTGGTTATATACACTATAACAATAATTGCCTTTCATCTTAATGATATCCAAAAAATCTTTCTGGTATGCCAGGACATCAAGAAACAAACATTCTCACTAGCATAGCTAGTTGGGACATCGTGGTACGCTTGTCTGACTCAATCAAGTCAAGGCACTAGATAACAATCAAGATGGACTACAACAATTATCACCTGGTGACTGATTTGTGATTGTTACAGGCCAAGTGTTGAACTGCAGTATGCCAAATAGATCCACTTAAAAGACTTAGTTCACTTTTCTTTTCAGTACTTACACTTACTGATTCAATCATGATATTCAGTGACTATCACCAGTGTTAACAGCAACAACAATGATAAGGTACAGTTTATGCTCAACAACCTTACGACAAGATCTGTTAACACAAAACGAAATAAAAACTCACAGACGCGGGAGTTTTGTCTTATTTTTAATCGATAGTCTGTATGACACCATAGTCGGTGACAGTGTCTTCAGCATGGATTCGGTACAATTTGATGGGATTGGACTCACGTAAAGAGTGATAGATGCCAGTTCAACTGAAAAATAGATAAAACATTTAAAATAAAAAGTTTAACTGGCACAAAACATCTCAGAGGAAGCAGCTCTTCAAATTTAACTTATGTATTAAGAGTTCTAACAATAAACTCCTTAAAAATCCAGCTTTTACTACCTGTGATTGAAGCATACATGCTTATAGTCATAGGCTATGGCACAAGGTTTTTGGGTGTTGTTTTTCAGTTGGATTACGCAATAAGAATAACATATACAGGATAAAATGATATCATTAACTGCACACCATTTTTTTCATCAATAGCTGTACGCATGACCTGAATAAGCAAATAATCACTACGAACAAATGCAAACATACGTTCATATTCAGGTGACATTATTATTTCAAGCATTGGAGAAGAGGCCGACTGAGGGGCGGCATAATAAGCATCTCATACCGTATAAACTCGATCAAATTGGACACATTCATTACAACGGGATATGAACCTTTTGTAGTGGATGGATAAATTCACATCTCCTGAGATGTGGTTACTCAGTCATATGAAAGGTTATGCATACAAAAATTGACCAGAGAGTAAGATGAATGAATGTAGTAACAAAGGTAGTTTTAAAAAAATTTCGACTGGAATAACGATTAGTAGTAATTTGCAGTTCAAAGGAATTAGAGAAAGATATTGAATTTTTTTGAGGAACAAAATCACTCGCCACCAAGGCAGTAAAAGACTGACTACATTTTTTTTTGAAACACACAAGTTAGGTGGCATTCGCTTAATAGCTATGGATTCAGCGAACCACAGTGCACATGAAGCATACTGGTTATTAATTAGGAGGGCCTTTAAATATGCTAACTAATACTATGTCTATTCTATAAGGCCCACTACATTATTAATAGAACCATGACTCTCTAGACTCAAATTCAATGCAATACGCTCAAGAATCTGGGTGGATAACCACCTCTATATAATCTCTCTTTCAATGTACGCGCTACCAGATGTGCATGCAAATTTGTTAACACAGCTGGAGATACAAACAGTAGATATCTTGTCCAATTTCGACCCGGTGATTGACCATGTTGCCTGATGAAGTGGAACTAGCTTTGCAATTGGGTAGGTGATTGACATGGCACTTCTTATCCGCCTCTTCATTCTTTCTATTGTGTCACCAATTCTGACTCCCTAGTAGCAAGAAAATCGACTTCTCTTCGACACTACTCCTTTTATCTAAGCAATATTTTACAGTGCATTTCAGAGTGACCATTATTTAATAAACACTATTCCATCAGCTTCGGTTCAACTTCAAGCTTCTCTTTGCTACTCGATACAGCCTTCTCATGCACACCACTTTGCAGCTGATTGCGCAAAACCTATCGCAATCCATATGTCACAACTAGTACCAGGTCCCGAGGACTTCGCGAAGCTACTCCGGCAAATCATCTACACAGAATGCAGTATATTTTTTGGTGTATAGGAATAGAAGACATCCAATTTTAGTGTTTGATAACTGCTAGTTAGATATCTCATATATATACTGACGAATAAATTAGATGTTCTCCTGAGAGGTATACAAACGTAACATAGAACAAGACATATAAGTGAACAATATTGTTTTCAATTAGATCCTCTTCAGGCTTTACTCTATTACAAATAGCTTAATATATATATATATAAACTAAACCAATCATGTAGATTTGTCGGTTGATATGATAAATGTTCTAAATAACGATGGAGATAATAAACACCCTCAAGAAACTAAAACAAAGTGGGACGATTTCTGGTTCCACATACAACACACTTAGACCTACAGGGAGTAACACACCAAGGTTGTATGGTTTGCCTAAAGTACACAAACCTGAACTGTTTCTTCGTCCAGTTTTAGACATGTCCAACTTCCTCATACCACGCAGTTGCTAAAGGGTTAGGATTTTAGATCCCTTACACAAGGAATTAGTTAACCACAGTGTAAAAGACGTCTTCGAATTTATTTCTAAGCTAGACAGTGTGAATGTAAACGGAAAATATATGATGTCGCTTGATATCTCATCACTTTTCACTAATGTGCCACTACTGGAGACGATAGTTTTTCTGTCAACAAATTTCGGAAAGGCAAATCAACAACGGGATTCCTGTACACATCCTCAAGGAACTGCTTCTTAAATGTACTATGAATGTAAATTTTGTCTTCAATAGCTCTCATTATAGACAGATTGATGGAATAGCTATGGATTCATCACTCAGTCCTATTTTAGCTGATACATTTCTTGCCAAACTGGAGAATGGAGCATTGAAAGAGGTCATTAAGGAGATGACTATGTATCACCGTTTTATTGACGACACATTTATTATTCTGGATCAGAATAAGGATACAAACGGGGTGTTAAGAAAATTTAATGAGGTGCACCCTTCACTCACTTTCACTTGTGAAGAAAACGCAAGTAAAGTACACTTCTTGGATGTCTTGCTAAGCAGAAGAGATGGTTCATTCAGCAGATGTGTTTACGGGAAGACCATATCTATAAGTCATATACCGATTCGGTACAAAGCGAACCTGGCTAAATGCCTCACTTACAGAGCGCGAAAAATATGTTCGGATGATCTAGTACAGAAGGGGTTAGATTATATCTGTAATTCATTGGTTGAAATGGGCCACACAGTTTCATAAAAAGACACATGGACAAAGCCAGAAGGAGCAAACATGGTATTACTAGCATACAAAAGAAACCTTTGTTTATGAAATTGCAATTTAATGGGGATGTGGCCCGGAGAAGTTTTATATCAGACTCTCTAGAGCCGTTAAAAGGACCTTCTACGCCGCACAACTTTGTCTATCATTTTCCAGTCGATCAATTGTTTTCTGCTCAGACAAAAGATAAGTTATCTAGTTTTGCAACTTCTATGTGTATTTACAAGTTTAGCTGGTTCTGTGGAGAAAGCTACATAGGGCGTACTACTAGACAACTTAACAAACGTGTTGCAGAGCATCTACCTTTATGGTGGGGAAAGGGACAGATAAAATCCATCAGAAGCTCGGTTTTATCTAGCTTCGTTGATAGTGGTCACTCAGTAGATAAGAACATTGCTTTCACGACTATACACCGCATACCATCTCATCTTTCGAAAGGTATTCAAACTCGTCCTTTACAAATAGCAGAAGCTGTGGGAATTCGAGCTAATAATCCTAGCCTTTGTATCCAGAAGAAATTTGTACATCCCGTATCTCTCTCTTGGCCAGGGAATACTTAGTTAGTGACTTTATCATTCAGTTTTCTTCTACCCCTTTCCTTATTCTTCACCCCTTTCGTATACTTGCTGTATTTGTCTAGGCTTTGTTTATCCACTCACATCGCCCTTCACTACTACGTACCTTTTATTTTCGCAAGCTTTTGACTCATTTTGATTATCGCAGTGTCTACATTTTCGTGTCGCTTTCTTGGTTCTTATCATCATCATTATCTATATTGCATGTGCCTCAGTCAAAGTAAGTCATTATCTCCATCGTTATTTTAAACATTTATGATATCAACCGACAAATCTACATGATTAGTTTAGTTTTTATATATATATTAAGCTATTTGTAATAGAGTAAAGCCTGAAGAGGATCTAATTGAAAACAATATTGTTCACTCATATGTCTTGTTCTAATTTACATGATAGGAGTTTTTTAAGATTTGAACGCAACATAAACGATACCTTGAATTTTCCTTACATATTCAAATTCTGCATTCTTTCGACGAGTACATTGATAGTTTTTCCCTTTTGTATTTTCAATCTCTGCATCAGCGAACATGCTAGTTTGCGATGAGTAAAGTTAATCATTGGTAAAATAGACCTCAAAGGGTATCAATACCATATATTTTCCGTTGATCATACCTGAAGCATAGACAGCTTCATTTTGGTCTTAGCCCATTCTAGGTTCAGCTAAAAAACAGCTTCATTTTGAAGGTTTTTGATCGCTGTCGTTACTTATTTAGCCTGTAATGTGTAGCTGGTGAAAATTTTGCAAAACACTGCTCTCATCTCATCACTGAAGTTTATCAAGGGGATATACCTAGAACATTTGGAGCATTTTTCGCAGTGTGCAACTGAAGCTCGCTGGTCTACGCACTCGACTCTCAGGGAATCAGTTTCAGGTTTGAACCTTGTCGCACACAGTCCAGCCTCACCCCACACAACCTATTTTGGCCTGCCTACCCGAATAGTATCATAAAGCCTCACACATCAATTGTGGCTAAAACTTGATTGGATAACGTAACAAACATTGGGTGTCCAATGAAAAGCCGACATGAGGCGTATACTAAAGTTGTATATATAATTCTCAGTGTTTTCTCTGAGTTACAACAAATTAGTGTAGTAGCGCTGACCCAACATGTGATTATTTACACCAAGTGTAACTTATGTGAATCAGGATTTCATGCATTCAATAAAAAATGAAAATTTTAAAGGCACTGCGCAAATCAATATTCAGAAGCAGCTTACTTGCACGCTTCTTAATCTCTTCTAACATAGCAGATTTATTCGCCCACCCAACAATAGATGAAGCCTTATCAGCGTTACCACCTGCATTTGTCCCACCGGCAAACTATACAGACAGGTGTAGGATTAAATAAATAATACGGTATATAAGACACATACAGCAGCAGTAAAACTTTGGTCAAACAAACGAATACATAAGAAAATCAGGGGACAATAACAATGAACACTTATTTTCATTCGGATTGACACACACGTGAATGTCTCATCCGACGGCAATCAACATGAAGCTTTCTCGCTCTCACTCACCACTAAACCACCTCACCAAAGGAACACGAATCATTAATGGGAACTCGACATTTATGTCGGTCATCAGTTTGTCGCCGATCTGTGTAACTCTACACTTCTGCATCAGCTTATTCTTCAGATAGAAGCAAAGGCAACAAGCAATCTAGTCTTGTCGTATAACTGTCTTATTCGCCATATCACACTGCTCTCCATCTAACCTCACTATATCAAGGTATAAAACAACAAGGATAGAAATAAAGAAACGAAAATAGTATGACTAATAGTGGTAGAAAGCCATAAGATAAAGGGAAGAGTGCGTATCAGCCACTCACCAAGTCTCCAGGAATAGATTTTCGTTGTCCCACGACCTTTGTTAAAAAGCCTACACGCCTTAAAGGGATAGTTAGTCAGAGAATCAGTTGGTACTTATACGTCCGATCGTCACCAAAATTTTATCCCATTAATTCATCTAACTAGACAGTTGACAGGATGTGGGTATTCATGAAGCTAATCAAAATTCAATAAGAAGTAACTCATATCTGTTTATCAATGAGCACATAAAAAGCAACTCTCAATCTGTACAACAACTACGACAACGCTAAAATAAACACATCTAGCACGTGTGTCACCGTCTGCCTTGTCACATAATGTTGTCCGAAGTAGGTTCAGATTGGCACCAATGTATGAAGTCCCTGACTGTTCGTTTGAGCCATGTGTGGCGATGTAGACTAGCCGGTTGGGGTCCACAGGACAAAAGAAACCGGTGGTTGGAAAGTCTAGGTGATATGGCCCAGAACCGATGTCAGTGGTGCAGATGTATACAAACATTATCATCTTAACGACGCTATACCGAATCTCACCATTTTCTCACGTCGCCTTTTTCTCTCTTAGTACTTTATATTTCTTTTGATTGCATTTTATCTTCATTTTGCACTTCACTGCCTTTTTACTTGATGTACTGGTATGAGGTGTGTAGCGTTACGCAGTAATGCCTGGTCCTATGTTGATTTGAATGGATGGATAGAAGAAAAGTTACAGATTTTGACAACTTACACACACTAGTTACAACGTTATTCTTTGCCATTTTAAGTATGCACGCCTAACTAACACAGTCAACCCGACTACATTTTAAAAGAATCAAAACTAATAGTTACATTCCTCATAAAATAGCTTGAAACCTGACAGCAGTGTTATCTACACTATTAGAAGAACGCTGACTAAGAAGCATGTCACACACTAGCAATTTTCTCTCTGCCCATGACTAACTACTACCACTTATATCAGCTAGACATTTAGTGGGTGTGAATTTTCTTAGTCTGGCATCATAGACAAAGACAGACAATCAAAAAACCAGCTAATGAATGCCTTCTTGTTTAGAAATGTACTATAGCGAGTGACTACGCCGTAACCAGGGTATTCTATTGAAGCTAGCAAACGCTGCATAGTTCTTTCAGTCACTTCCCGAAAAGTTAGTTAATTCAAGTGAGAACTTGTCACGTAGGAATCCCAACAACAACAACCAACCATAACAAACAGAAAAGTAACTTTTCATTCGGTGATAAGAATCTGTTGCTTGCTTTATACTATCCTTGAACAACTGGTGGGTTTATACGTAACTGATAATTTTGCCATCCTGACCACATCCATCATATTTGAGTGACTGGAGCACTTTAAGGTTTCGCTTTCTTCTGGATTATGATTATTACCATTACCATTACTGTTGAACACACTCACATGACCAGATGACCAAATGTCTCAGTTTGGTCAGCTGATGTACACTCAGTTACACCTAGGGACAGTTAGCGGTTGACAATAATCAAGTTTTTAGTAAAATATTCACTTCGATCATCCAGTCTAGCATACACCTAACAACACACCAATTCATTGCCTGACGTGAGTTAGCTTACACGTTAGTTGAGACAGTGGACAACAGCGAAATATTTCAACTCGATAACAATGCCAAGAAATAGTAACGATGATAATAGTTTTTCACCTAGTTATATTTTTTTTGAAATTGTAGTATCTGTGAAAATTTACCTTCGAGTTGTCTGTGACTTTCATTTTCTTCGCAGATGGAGCGGCGTTTCCAGTTGGTTCTGAAAAGTCAATACATGTAGACTAATATGATTAAACAATCTAATTTATATGCATAAATGCAGTAAATAGCTCAGTACATCTCATGCTCCTTTTTAGACAGTGAGAAAGTGAAAACAAATCCGGATCGCATCTAAGTCGATCGAACTCACCAAAGGCGTCACACCACGAACTTGAAATTAAAACCTGATATCATAGCAAGTCCCTTAATGGGCTATTCAGTATGCTGGTTTGGCAAACTGGGTTTCTGAAAGATTCGAGCGGTACTGTTATCACTCCAGTATTCATAGCAAGTCGTCAGTAACTCGTATTTAACCGCCTTCGTATTCGAAATGATAAGGAACAGAGCATATAGTCTTGCCGAAGAAAAGCCTTCTCACACTGTCACAACATGACTTCCGTATTACTTGCTCCCACTTAACTGATCTCCGCATCGAAAGGAAGGGATGAGTAGCATCCCACAAGTACAAGCTACCTGCTTATTATCTTTATTAACTTCACTAAGGCTTTTGGTAAACTTTCGAACGTTAGATTGATGAGGAAATTTTCTACTTTTGGTCTTAACACTACGATACAGACCTAGAATAAAGAATTTCTATGCGATAGGCGACACAGAGTCAAAATGAATGGGATACCCTCCAAGTGGTAACCTGTCAGATGTCAGGCTTCACCAGTAACGATCTTCGCCACTATCCTTTCCTTTCTCCCTGTCAATGAACTCTCAAATATGATTTAGTCAACAGTGTTATTTATTATTTGCTGATTAGGTGAAAATATAGAAGCTTATCCGTATAGACAAGGGATTAATAATAATATAAAATAATAATCCGTATAGAGGTCGAAACATGCATAACAACCTAACGTAAATGAACTGGTCGATAGGTGTAAGTGTTACTATTTGGAAACTTGTTCCAGCGAATGTACAGTTACGCATATTGGTCTTAATAGTTGCTATCGGCATATAATAGATAGGATGCCAGCACCTGACGTCCAACAAATCAACGAAAAGATGAAACCCTCTCGCTACTGTTTCATTGCAGTGTGTCGGTATCTTTAAGGCATGGCAGACGACGACAGAACTTGCAAATACTCCGACATGTTTCGCACATCCTATCTATCTCACCCTTATGTAACCTAACCTCCAATACTCATTCAAGCGGCTAGTTCTCGCTTCATAAAAGACGCTAAGGTACAAGACCAAGTTCACAGAGTCTATGTTAAGTTGCTGATTCGCCTATCTAACCTATCCAATAAGGACCATCTGAGCAACCAAATTTTTCCCATTACCAGATTGCTGAAAATATACACACAATCAGTACAAGACTGCGTTATGTTGTATGAGGTTTGGAAGGTCAAACTGCCTGACTTATCTTGTAGCTGAGTTCAGCATACCACATGTGGCAAGTATATCCGACACTAATCTTTTGCTTCCGACAAATACTACTAGGCAGAGAAATAAAAACCAGTAGAACGATTTCCTCTTCCAACTCACACCACAGGCTAAATTATTTGCACTATGAGGCAACTGCCACCATCCAACAGACGTTTCTCGCATGATACGAAACCAAGGACCAATAACTCCAGCCAGCATAACTTCATAGGTTATTACGACCACTAAGTCCAACCACGATTTCAAGTAAGAAGGCTATCAACTGCAACATGAAAAGGTTTGCACTAATATCTATGCTAACTATTGCGTGATTAGGATCTTCAAGTTGACGAGTCCTCTTGTCAAAGGGAATTCTGATAATGCCCTACTTCGCCCAGTAATATCAAATGCACACTCCACAATGATTTTAGACCCAGTGGCAATAGAAATTGGTCTCATTCTCTCGGTGTCATTAATGATATGAGAGAGATGACTGGTAAATAATCTCTTCTCACATTTGTCGTGCAGTCAACATAACCAATCTCATTTCTCCACACAAACATCGTCTTCTCATTTGATGGGACAGCACCAAGGAATATTAACTTCGCTGCTTCTACAATATACAGTCAGAAGAGATGTGCAACTAGAAAATATGAATGGTGAGCTTAACTTCAACCACAACTGTGTGCTATCTAGGGAATAACCATAAATATTTTGAAGGTCATCCAGCAGCGCATTACGCTTAGCTTAGCATAAAACTTATGACAATGAATTCAATCATGCCAAGTTTATCCACAAAACAGTAGGAACATGTGATCGGAGTTCGTAGTTGAGACTGCTTAGGATCGATCATAGTGATGCTGGTTCATCAACTATTCCTCCTTCCACTTGCCCACCGACTCCAAACATCGTTTGATGCAATCTCAACAATGATGGTGGTTTAGTGTTCTCTCTGAGGTTTGATATTTTGTAGTGAACGTTTCACCACTAGACTTAGTGACATCCTCAACACTAACTTCATAAAGAAATGAAGCATAACTGAATATTAACACGAATGTTTAGATAGTGCTTTTACCGACCTTGGATATTGGGGAAGGTATTTTTCATCATCCTCTAACCTCTTTGACCTTAAATTTCCCTAAGTCACGTTGTTGAAGTGAAATTGTGATATTTGTTGTTACAATGTGCATCATTAGTGATTTATCCGGTCAATTTGCCCTTAGTTCATGGATAACTGTTATCTTTCCAAGAAGATTGTAGACTGGGTCTATATTCGCATGTCTATTGATTGACATTTCGTTTGAATTTCATGCTTCTAGAAATTCTCTTGCAGCTTTGGAACGTGCTCTTTGGAGGATTCCCACAATCTTCCAATCAAATTTGTGATCATGATTGTCTGTATGCGTTGAAAATGAGGAAGCCGCGTCATGTCAATATACTGCTAGTTGGGGTTCACCAATTCTTTCAGCAATCCGACGGCTAGACTAGCCAACGTAATGCTGTGAACAATTTTCGCAGTTGATTTTGTAGATTATATCCGTCCTGTCTTCTTTTGGCAATGAATCATATGGTTTGCACAACATACTGAGTAGTGATTTTGTTAGTCTGTGTGCTACTCTGATTCCAAAAGGACGAAGCAATCGCTTGACTGTTTCTGAAATATCTTTAATGAGGGTAGCGTAACTTGCCTATTGATTTGAGGCAGTTGCCCTATTTTCTGTTCTGCTGATCAACACTTTCTGATAAAGTGGATAATCATTGGCCTTGAAAACTTTGCACAGGTATTTTTCTTTAGCTTTCCGTAGTGCTCCAGTGCTGCAATGTGTTTTGCCCCTTGAGAATGTTTGTATACATTTCTGTTGTAGTTGTAAAGTCCCGTCGAGTGTTCTGCAGATGGGGTCTAAGAATGAAGTCTTTCCATTAGATTTCTCCTCTTTTGTCAGGTGAATTCCTTCAAACGTCTGGTTGATTAGTTTGAACGTGTTTTCTATTTCATCTTCCTTAAGAATTAAGAATGTGTCGTTGACGTACCGAATCCAAATTTTTGGCTTAATGGAAGGGATGGCTATTGATTCCAGTTGCTGCGTCACAGCTACAGCACTCAATCCTGATATTGGCGATTCCACAAGTGTCCCTTTCGTTTGTTTGTAAATCTTCCCATTATATTGTAAATAGGTCGTGGGACATAGCTCAATCAATCCCATTAGGTTTGCAACCATGGTCTTCGTATTGTCAGAAAGGGTTCTTTAGAACAATACTGATCGTCTCTTTGGATAAATTTGGGTCGATTGAAGTGATGAGTGAAGTCACATCAAAAGATATCATCTTTCCATCACTGCTTATCCTTAAATCTTTTATTTTGTTTAGAAATTCAGTTGCTGAGCTGACTGAGTGTTCACTACCATTGACCAGATGTTTTAGATTTCTGTATAATTCTTTCGATAAGTTGAATGAAGGTGTACAGGTAGTGAAACTTATGTCGACCGTAGAACCTCGGTAGGACTGATCCGTTTGTCTTCATCCGCCATTGCTCTTTTGTGATTCAACCGGTTTTCAGCAAACTTCTGTTTCCTTTGGATCTGGTTGTCCGATTGTCTAGTTAGATTGTGGTCTAGTAGTTGGCATACACTTTTGTCGTTTGGTAATTTCTTCTTGACGTAGTCCATTTTGGTCATGACGACCATTTTCCTTCCTTTATCCGAAGGTAATACTAAAATTGTCTTGTCAGTCATTAGTGACTTCAGTGCATTTCTTTCTTGCGTTTAGGTGTTGATTTTCTTCGATTTTCAATAAAGGTACAAGTGGTTGACGTAGTTCCTGTTGCTGCTCAATATTTAATCCTGAGATTTTCAATGTGGACTCCAAAGAAGCAGAGATCAAGTTTGTTTTCATTGCCAGTGTTCTAGTTTCATACCTTCTGAAGTATATCGTATTCTGTCGTAGATAGTGGGCCTTCTGAAAGATTCACTACCCATTCATTCTTCAATACCCTCCCTGTCGGCTGTGTTAGCTTGAGTAGTTTATCATTCAACTCCTGCCTTCTCTTCTTGCCTTTGGTCTTAGTTGTTATGTTGATGGCTGCTTTAATTTGTTCATCATATCTGTTTCGATGATTGGTTCCGATATTTGTTGTTGGGTTGTAATTACCTTGTTGTATTTGGTTAATTTGTTGTGTGCATTAGATATCATAAGTCGCACCATTTTTCTGCAACTTTGTTGGTGGTGGTAAGATATTGCGCCGTAAACATTCGTGTCAGACGAAAAGCTGCTCTCGAATGGAAGCTCTCCGACCAGTGAATTTCTCCCATTTCTGAACACCAAACCACCATCATCCTCATCCTGAGCTACAAATCTTTTCCATCATTTCAATCTCAACATTCTCTTTACTCATTTCACGTCTACACAGAACCAACAGACTTTTCAATGCGGCTTTCAGCTATTCAATCACTATCACTCTGTAGGTGGGGACAAACGACAGAATTATTTCGATCACTGCAATATTAAAGAATGCTTTCATCAGTATTTACATAAATGATCTATGGAGTACGCATTTTCATTTGATTAGTTAGACAAACAGCCAGGCAAAATCAACGTAGAATCTCGCAGATCAGTGTACCGGTTGAAGCTGCCTCACTTCGCAGTGGTATATGGGGAACAGTAGGATAGAAAGAGCGATATCAAAGTAAACAAAGTTATGTGAACGACTAAGCAATTTGAAGATAACGGCTAGTGTTGATATCCAGGCTTTAAAAGACATCGAAGAGTGAATACGTCTGCACCATTGTGACTGATTTTCAGCCGTTTCACCAAGAGTCCTTAACTACTGTTTGTTATTGTCTCGGGTACCCCAACCAGGCGGTCGAAGTGTCTCCACACGGTTCATACCAGCAGTCAAAGACTTCACTGACTTGTGTCAGGTCTTGGTCTGGGTGCCATGGACCCTCTTTCAAACTAATTCAACTTCCCCCAGCATGGCACGTCGAGATAGGTGATGGCTCGCTAGGCAGGAGCAACACGTCTAAGCCGTTTCAGTTGACTGAGGTTAACAAAATCATCCCTAGTACGCTTCGCCTGACCTCAACACTGTTCCACAGTAGTTCCATTGAACGTGAGCAGTGTTATAAAGACATCTATAACCGCTTTATGCCTTTTAATTACAACGGCCATGTCTCACAAGCGTATTACAGGACAGAATAAACTCTAGTGGGTTTTACTCGTCCTTTAGTAGGTAGTCGGATATTCCATCAACCGGCGTCAGAGATGACGCAGGTTGGCGGGTGCCAAACCGGTCTTCTGTATCTAGGCTGGGACTGTGTCAGCAACCAGTCCGCTCGGGCTGATGTAACATCGCATGTTAGTGGAGAGGTTGGAACAATCCACTTGGTTGGTCAAACAAAACAAGCTGTAACCCCAGCAGCACCAACCTATCTACCTAATTCTGTTTGGGTGGTACCATAAAAACCCCGATGCAGTAGGTATTCGTCACGGGCTAGTGTCAAGTGGTACTGGGTTGCATTATTATTCCTAAAAACCGTCACCATCACCTTCACAGATATCCCACTTACGACAGACAGGTATAGTGAAACAAATTATTCACACATATACTCCTTGATGTTCTCTCTACCTACCAACAGTATTTCAAGCACAACCGTAGTTCATTTTACTAGTATAAGGAAAATGAACTGAGAAGAGATTTAGAAACGAAATTAAACCAAAGTTTTGGCCGATATTTACATTGTGTAAGCATCAACTGATATACACAGGAGTAATATAAGTATGTATAAGAACAGCATTCCTTCCCGTTAGGTGTTGAACTGTTCGTGCCGTGAGAACACCACTCGAATAATTTAGACGTTGCATGTGGGATGGTGACACCGCAAAACCTCCATCAACTTATGAGGTTGAATCACTTTTTACGAAGTTTAAACCAGACTACCTACCTCACTTCACCAAGCAGTTGTGTTCACATGTATTATGTTCAGCGTTAAGGACATTACCATTTTTGTGAAGTCATTAAGTATCATTTTAGTCCTTTTTCACTCGATGTGAGGTATAGCAACTTGGACCGTTACGCAGTAATCCGTGGGTGTAGGTTGGTGTTGGTGATTGACACATGATTGGAGAAAGCGGCAATCCTCCACCGATCGCTAAGAAAAATATGACTTATCTGTGTCCATCGGTGGTTTGATGCCAGCGGACACCGAGAGGCACTGTATCTTTTAATGTAAGAAGTCAGTGCTGGTCAGAACAAACTTTCCTGGTTTGTAGACATCCATTCAGTCAAACACCACATAGATGGATGTTGACTGGTATCCAATCGACGAGTGCGCTTTCTACTCGGGAACTTAAACTTTATGCTGTGCTTACACCAATAAGCTCGCGGGAGCTAGCCACCGAATCTCTGGACACTTAAGGTGAATTTTGAAATTCACTGCATTCACCAGGTTATGTCAGCTAATAACTACACTCGGATTCTGCTTGCGTATCTCATAAACACAGAATACATTCATAGCTGCAAATCCGAGAGTTCTGATAAGAGACGCTTGTTGTCCGGTCCGGTATACCGTTCGCACGTTGAAAGCTACAATGTGAAACCGGTGGAGATATTTTAAGAGGCTAGAAATGATGCTTTGATGGCTTGGATCTTTGCAATAGTAGCAGAGTGAGAGGTTGGGGAAGGTGTAAGAGGTTTACTTTATCATTAGGTGAGGGGAAGAGAAGAGACAACGGTAAGGAAGATATGTTATATTTTACTGGATTGTGTGTACAACATGAAACGCACGGGCAGTTGATATGTTCCAACTGCACACACCGTGACCGTAGAGCCCACGGGATATCTGCTTGAAGCCTGTAACACAGTCTTTTCAGGACTGTTAATTTGAGATTTGGTTGTTCTAACACCGGGTAGGAAAAGCCAAGTTACTGCGCTGGAAGAACATAGGCATGGTGTGCGATTTTAGGGGGTAACGTTTTGTACTCTCATTCACTTCACATACGAAAGACAGTATTGGAGCAGCATCACTGGCCACCTAATGGGAACACCTTACTTTTGTCACACCCCATCCCGCCAGCAGTATGACTTCGTCCTTGGACCCTCATCATAGCATAACAACATACACTTTGAGGGTAACTGCTTGTCATGCCATTATCTGGTAGACCTTCCTGGCATTGTAGAGCCTCGAGAGAACAAGCATTCCAGGCAGTTCAGCTTAACGGGCTATTGTGATGTGCAGACCTGACCACCACACCACATCAAGGGAGCAGCTATCTTATCCAATCCTACTACGCCTAGCACCGCACGTCAAGAGGGACGATGCCTAGGTATGCGCAACAAGCATGGGACGCAGCTAAAGTATTGCTTCTTATTCATCGCTTACAGTCAGAGGGTGGCATAACTTGACAATGAGCTTCATAACATCTTGGGAGATAAAAGTTTTTGTTCAATCAAATCCGGATTCTCCAAAAGACACTTTTCAGTACTTGCGTTCGCATATTAAGTTGGTGATTCCAGTACCTGTCAAAAAACTGTTAAAACAAGGGAGCATTATGAGAAACAAGACTAAAATTTAGCAATATGATAGAACGCGATTCCGTATTAGATTACTTCATTCGCTATAGCAGTGGTGCAGTATTATTTACTAAAATTAGGTGGAACGGGGAAGTTATCAGAAAATGCCTATGGTCACATCCACTGACCTGAAGATTTATGCGTGACTTGATGTAACCTGACCGCTACGACACACCAAAACACCATAAAAGAAGAGTAGAAGGTTTTCGTTAAATAGTATTAACAATTACAATACAAGGTTAACTTACCAAGAGCCCTTTTCATAGCATTTGAGGATTCTTTCTGCTGACATTTGCTTTTCGGTTTGACTGGTTTCTGCTTAGTATTTAACAAGGTATTCAAGTCTTCTTCACTCAACTCTTCATCTTGATCATCTTCGGATTCTTCTAGATCGTTACTTGATGACTCCGTACCACTCTGTTTCTCATCACTTGTGGAACATTCAGCAACTTTATTACTACTCAGCCACTGATCACCGCTGTCCTCCAACATATCATCTGCACTCCAGCTTGCTTCGATCGGTTCGAAATAACTATCACTCGAGTCTTCGTCGAATGCGACTTTTTTCTTGCTCTTGGATCCCTTTGGTTGTATTGTCGAGAATGCATCCTTAGTGATATGATCTTTTTTACTTTTGTCATTTCGTTGTGTAGGTGTATTACTGCATACATTAATATTCTTTTTTAAGCTCTTCTTAGACTTCTTCGCTTTCTTTTGTCTCACCTCTTTGCTTTGAGTTGTCTTGGTTAATTGATTTTTTTGTTTTTCGGTTTTTTTACGTTTGGTCTGAAAAGATCAGAAATCATATGGCTTTTATCGGTGATAAAAAAATTAACTGATGTCTTAGAATTAATTAACTCGACGAAACGCGATCTTCACTACACCAAAACAGCCTGCGGAACATAAGGATTAGGCAGACGAATGAAATCAACGTAGAACCTCCCGAACAGGTGCATTGGTTTAAGATGACATACTTTGCAGTAAGATACAAAAAAAAGCTTTATTAGAGCAAACAAGTATGTGAGAGGAAGAATTTAGGAATGGAAGTCAGTGAAAATATTCAAACCTTTGAAGACGTCAGAGCGAATAAATTTGTTCTATTGTGACCGACTTGCAGCTGTTACAAGGGGTCAATCAATCGATCGATATCAACAGTGGACCAGGCATTATTAAGTAACGGTCCATGTTGTATCCCAGCTGAGATTTTTTTGCTACAGACCCTTTCGGGCTTATGCATATCTACTCGTAAATGAAGTCGTTAACGTCTCACTTCACTCACTACCCCTAATCTAGGAGTCAGTGCAGACCAGTCGTCGAGCACCCACTTTCTCAAATTTCGCAGGTGCATGCCAAACGGTCTTTAGAAGACTCTCTATTTTGTAAGTACCTTTGTCTAACATGATCAAGTCATCGGTGTACTGCAAGCTAACCAGGGAGGCCGAACCCTGTAAAGTCGGATATACGTAGAGTTGTCAATTAGTACGCCTTAAACAGTTAGACAGGAATGGTTACGGCGGAAATTCCTGGAGGACACGACTAGTTGTCGTCACTTCGGATGACAAGTGCCCATAAGCCCTTATGTGACTACGAGAGTTCAAGTGGAGTTCTGGCTAGCAAATCATACGTTTTCGATACTTGGTTCACGGCAACCAACATAGTGTTTCTGACGGATGCCAGCACTTCTTTGGAAGAAGCAGTGCCAGAACTCAAAGTATCGCAGGAATCTTCAGACCAGAAACGTCATATTTCATAGGCGCAGAATACAACTGCTCACCAGGAAACGTGCTGTATTTTAAATATTTGCACCTATAACGGCATCAAAAGTCATCAGAACTCAGGTACGCCACTTTTGCTTTGATTGGAAACCTTATCTCTCACAACTTTACTAACCATAAAACAACCGATATGAACGAACTTCACGGCTATTTCCAATAGTTCACTTCTAGAGGTGAGCGCAGATACCTGTCAATCTTGTATTAACATCGGACCACTGGTCTTGCGAAGGTTGACAGTAATCATGATACAAATCTACCGACGAGCATAGGCTTTGTTATCAAGTTTAAAGACCAGATAACCTTATCTCTCACATCAGTGTCAAACACACTAACAAGAATAGAAAGACGCTATTATCAACATGGTATATACAAACAGGTTCAAGAATGTAGAAGCCACCTATCGTCCGACTAGTTTGACCAACAAATCCATTAAGATACTTGAAAAGGTTATCCATGCAACGGTCCTAAAACAGGTTCAAGAAAATAGGCCTACGATTAGGGAACAGCAGTTATAGGACTGATTACTCTGGGCTAGCACACCTGATGGCAAGAAAATTATGCGCAGTACGTCAATATCAATATTCCTATGAATGAATGTTCATAGACTTTGGTAAGGCTTTCGACTAAGTTTCACACTAATGATTGACGCAGAAGCTGGAAGGCTATGGAATCGGTAAGGAAGCGATAGACTATGTCTAGGTCTTTCTTGATGGTAGAAAAGATACGAAGGCCACTGGGGCACTTTTATAGAGACCATAAATAGCGATGACTAAAACTGTCTAACAAATCAAACATGGTCGCCTAAATTCAACACCAGAAAGACAAATCGTATAGATTCATCACGACAAGCAACATCGGTACTCAAATAATGCAATAAACCTGTCTGAAGTTTCTGAATATGAGAATTACCAATCATCGTTAGTTACAATCTTGAATCAGCAGCTATACCAGTTATGCTGCTGATAATCCCAGGTGATTGACCAACTATCCTCGTCATCAAGGACTCCCTAAGAGCGATTCACACGATTTACATTATTTCTCCTATCTCGATGTAAGAAAAAGTGGTTATCCAGTTTTAGCACCTTGTACTTCAATTAGGGATTTAGATGCTGCTTTATCTAGTCGCTTCACTACTACTGGGTATGACTAGCCACCTTGAAAGCCAATGGAAAAAAACTACAACGGCCGTGGTGAGAAAGTCTAGCCAGAAAAAGATCAGCCAACCACTAAACTGGTCTAGCGATAAGGAGCGATGTGCATGAGTATTTCGACCGATTATATGGGGAGTGGCATCCACTGTGGTGCGTGTGGTTGACAAAACCTCTACACGTCCAAATAAGACACACGATTTTGCGAAACTACCCCATTTGCAGGGTCAATATGATATCCAACTGTTTATTAGGGTGAAGTGTACGGCGCTGCAGTTCACTCTGTTCGCCTACATATCTGTAAAATATGGCTATTAAAAATGGAGGATAATAAAACGGCTGCAGATGTTTAAGCATCGTAGCACCATTGTAGAGATACGCCTGTCAGTAACGCAGAAGTCCGCCCCGTCACGTAATGTTGGCTGAAGTTAGGATGTAAAAAGGGTTAGAGGTAGCCAGACTAAACTATCACGTCAGTTCATCAAGTCTTACTAATGCTATCAGCCGTGTAAGGAGGTACAAACCGCATAGCTTCTGGCCTCAAGATAATGGTTGGAGTCTCAGCGACACGACTTGCAATCTACCGAGAAAGTGCACGATTATACATTCTTTTTCACCCTTAAAAGTTCTAACATATTCAACAACCACTTAATTCCTCCCCTACAATTTCTTTTCGAACAACATCACTACTCTTCTTGTAACTACTTCATTTTTGTAGGCACACGACTCACATGACCATACGATTAGTGGTAAGTCACAACCGAAGCTTTCAGAACAGGATTTAGGACTCATTGAAAACAATAACCTTGAAAGAACAGTAAGCTACAGGAAGATTTTGAGTTCACAGGGGTTGCCGATAAGCTGATGATAGATCTCGCCCATCTTTCTTACGAAGTTATGAGTGAAGTTTATCAATTTCCTTTTCTCGTAGTATGAAGAGGTGTTTCCATCTGGACTTTCCGCATTTCGGATATTGAGAAACATATCTATCTTTTGTAATTTTCTCTAGGACTGGTAGCCTTAAAAACCATTGTAAGATCGAGTAGCCTCAGTCGAATAAGCTTAAAGAGGGGTATTTTTGTTCCACAGTGGTTAGCGAACAGTACTTGTTAACCGAAAGTGGAACCAGCTCTTGTGGTGAGCTTTGTTAACGAAGCACTTGATCTTCACAGAGATGGCTGTTGTAACGATTAACAGCTCTTCTCACTGAACACCTATCGTTCCTTTGTAAAACTGTATAGCATAAGGATGACTGGAACATTCTAGCTTCAATCAACCAAGGGACTTCTGAAGTGTAAGATCTAAGCAGCAAGCTCGCGTTTTAAATAACGAGATGAGGCAGTAAGAGTTCGACGGGTATGCGCTAAGATGGTCAACAATAAGATCGATTTGATGATTACATTATGACCTATCAAAATATAATCCTATCTACAACCGGTCACCTGAGAGCACATCAACCACTTATATGGAAACCTAACCCGAACCATCTGCATCCAGTAATCCATTTCTAGAACGATGGATTTCTATTACGGAGTGCACTGTTTCAGAGCTGATTGTGGACTCATTTAAAACCAGTTCCGATTATCACAGTACTCATCATAGCAAGGTATGATCCAAGTCAATCGAACTGCTATCTTAAATCTTGAAACGTCAAACGAAAATTGGCTACAGACAATCACATGCACACTATGTACAGTCTGAACGAGAGAGCTGCAGAAAAAGCATCATATAAGGCGCTTACCATTCTCACGTGCCGTTACCAAATTACCCGCTAGCTCCGGTAGACTCAACCTTCAAATTTAAGGTACCAACCCTGAAAATGAGATACGTAATAGCAAGTTTCAATACCCAATGCTTTTTAACCAGCTTGTGTACACCAGCTGACTTCGAATACGCTTCCAGTTATTCAGGAACGATTCCAGGTTATTGGTGGGTTTCGGTACAGCGTGTTCACACACTCCCCTGCTGTAACTTTAGTGTACCCGGCGGATGGCTAATGCTTAATTAAATCTGTAAGGGTTGCATAAATTTCCCAACAACTCTGGTGGGGATGGGTTCCTCAGATCACGTGTCACCAGATATTCGTCTGGATAGCTTGTAAAAATAAGACAAAAATGATGAAAGGATGTTGAAGAAAACAAACAGAGGAAGCGAGAAGAAACAAGTTAGAAAGAACCAGAAGGAAAGGATGGAAGAATCCACCTAGATTCAGGCGAAAAGGGAAGGGGAACTGGGGTGAAGAGAAAAAGAGCAGGGCCAGAAGGAGTGGGTAGGTTCATAGGAGGGATAATGGTCATACAAATAGTGATACTAATTGTGGGGATATGACCACTGGTGGCGAGACATCTAACAGGAAAACATAAGGTTGGGTTAACTTAGCGATGATAATGCTAGTGCAAGGTATTCAACATGAAGTTTAATGGACCAGAATGATGTGGAATTGGTTAGTTGTGTTGACATGGTCTGCATCCCAGCCATTCGTCAGTGTGGCTGTCCAAACCCTTCTTGAGGATTTTGACAGATAGAGAAATAGCAACCACGAAAAAATCTGACCACACGCATCTTTCCATTCTTTGATGGGCGATTCTCCTTATGTCTCCACGAGGATTGCAACTGTGACCATTTGCTGATAATTAGATCCAGATCTGCAGTTTGAGGACACAAGGCTATGGGCACATGATAATCCTTTTCCCGCAGAACTCTGTGTTATTCCAATCTCTTTTTGAGCCAGTAGGTTGATGACGTGGACGCCACTTTTGAGGCTTCTGGAACTCTGCACCAAGAGTTGATCGCCCCATCCGAGAACCGGTATTCTACAGAGATTGTGCCAGTCCTTGGCTTTCACATTTTCCTACAACGTCCTCTGAGGTGTCTGTTGCTAGTAGGAAAGAAATGGGAAGCTAGATCAGGTGCAAACTAGTCTCTTAGAATCCTATGTAGCATGATTGGATCGCCCTATCCGCCGTAGGATAACGAGGAGAGGTCCATTTCCACTCCTATGAGCTAACGTAGGAGGATTGCCGTTGTTTCTGGATTACCAGTTTGGACTCCGATTACGCTTTACACGGGGTGAGGTATGCCTGCATATTACTGGTTGCAAGAAACAGGAGATGGCAAAGCCTGTCTATGTTCGATAGGATGCCAAATACGTAGTTATAGAGAAGTTAGCTAAGCATTTATGTGAACGTGACAACTGTGCTCATCCTGAAGAAACCAGGCGCGATATGAATTCTGATGCAGCAACAGCGATAAAACAGTTGATAACCTACGTAACTTGACCAAGTCTTCGCAATCAACGTGAGTAGTTGTAGCTGACGAAAGCGAGAGAGATGAGGAAGGCATCAGAGTTGGGTAATACCCAGCAATCATTTAAGCGTATTAAACATGCTGGCAAGAAAAGACAATCATCAACAAAATAATAACCAAAGAGGAAGGGAAGCTGATTACCTTCGAGGACAAACAGAAAGTTGGGCAGAACAATTTAAAGCACAGTTTATCTAACCTACAATATTTCGGTTTCCCGACACAGCCTGAGCTTGAATGGGACGCAGATGTCGGCCCTCTAACTCTACTTGGAGTTGGAAAGGCCATGTTGAACACGAAACGATGCGAAGCAACTAGATTTGACAGTTTGCTACCCAAGGTTCTCAAGTATAGAAGTAGAAAAATGACGGAGGTTTGGATAATGTGTGGGAATAAGAGGTGGTCCCGGTGGACTGGTCTACTTCATCGATCATCCCAGTCTATAGAAAGCTACTTGCGATAACTGTGAGGGAATTAGTTTGAATAGTATTTTGTCCGAGGTCCTCCAGCAGGTCCTGGAATACAGGCATACGAACTGGCGGCTGACACTTGTCATATTTCTTGACCTGAAGACGGCACTTGATGCACACGAACGCGAGATGTTCTGGCAATATCTGACTGTGAAGGGAGTGACGAACAAGTTTTAATGCTTATCGAAGCTGTCTACTGGAACTCATGCAGCCATGTAAAAGTACATGAACACTTGTCATATGAATTGACAACAACTTCTGGTGTCCTTCAGGGATGCCTACTGTCACCCCTCCTATTTAACTTCGTCATTCATCTACTAATGGACGAAACCTTAAGTGCATCTGACTTCAGAGGGGTTGATCTACTCCCTTGATGTCATCTGGTTGACTTGGAGTATGCAGACAATATTTTCCTGCTGGGTGAATACGATGACAAAATCCAGGGTCTTCTGAACGCGTTGATCCGAAACCTGAGTATGGCTGGCGTGCGTTTCGCTGGCACCTGTCAAATGTAAGATGATGCTGCAGGACTGATTTCAAAGCACTTTCACCCCGCTCACATGCGGAGTTGCATCAGCCGAAGCCGACTGGTTGCTGACGATATCTCAGCTCGGCTACAGCAGGTCCGTTTGTGATTGGTCAAATTGTGTAATCTCTGGCACCGGACTGGCAAAATCTGACTACCTAACAAACAACTAGTTCACTGGGTTGCACGGCTGAGACATAACCGTTGAAAGTAGGAAACATTAAGCGGTCACAAGATTTTCATAACAGATGACTTCGAAGAATCACTCACATGCAGAAGAGCCAGTATGTGAGCAATGATGAGGTTAGGAAAAGGTTAATAGGCAACCAAGTGGAAGCGATCGATGAGGTTGTGAACCTTTATCGGCTGAGATGGCTTGGATGTCTTGCGCATGCCGAGCAACCATCTGCCTAACTCGACATGCCATGCCACGGGAAGTCGGACTAGATTGGAAGAGGGATTATAGTAGCCAGACCAAGACCTGACACAAGTCAATGAAGTCTTTGACTGCTGGTATGAACCGTGTGGAGACACTTCGACAGCCTGGTTCGGGTACCCAAGACAGTAACAATCAGTGGTTGAGGACTCTTGGTGAAACGGCTGAAAATCAGTCACACTGGTGCAGACGTATTCATTCTTCGATGCCTTTTAAAGCTTGGATATCAACACTAGCCGTTATCTTCAAATTGTTCATTCTCTCACACAACTGCCTACCTTGATATCAGTCTTTCTCTATCCACTTGATGTTTGTATGATAGTGTGAAGTATGGCGAGTTAAACTGGGGCACTTGTATGTGAGGCTCCACGTTGATTTTCCCTGTCTGTCTACCTTTATTGGATCGCTCTTCGTAACACAATTAGATGAAGTTGGCCGAGGAAGGTGTTAAGTGAAAGAAAACTCTTCTTGAACGGATAAAATGGATTTTAGCCTTCGTATCATTAATGCTTTGAAGAAATTTGATCATATAGCCTTGATATCTGCTGTATGATGGTTTCGGAATTATTTTGATGCGGGTCATACCCCTGTTTCCACAAGATGTTACCTAGAGATAATGTCTATCGTCAGTGTTCCAACTACATAGAGGCATTCCAACACGCTTGACTGTATGGTTCGATTCCTCCTACAGTACACATGTAGATTGTTACACACATCTCGTCTTGATGTGCTGGTGGGGTATGGCAACTAAGACCGCTATGCAATAATACCACGTCCACGTCGGCCTTAACTGACCAACTAGTGTGATTTATTCATCTAAGTATTACTGAGCCTCATGTTGGAGCAGGGACTTTTTCCTCCCGAAAATTATAGGTATTTCTGCCTACTACACTATTTTGATAACCGAATAAAGCCTTTGCATTAAAATCGTACTTTTTGGTCCTCCTCTATGGAAAGGAATATTGCAACCTCAACTTCGAGCCAATCTAACTAAAATATACTACTATCTCTACAAAAAACTTACATTCTTCCGGGCTGTCTAGGGGAAACGTATGTCTCCAGGTTATCACTCGAACTACATACAATCAATCGAACGATCCAACACCGGCTGAGACACCAAACAAAACTTCCATGTAACTGGGGAAGTCAGTTAGGAAACTGTCCTTCCGTTGTCAGAACGTTTTTGTTTAAAAATTTGACCCTTATGTAACAAATAAGAAGTGCAAGTTATCATATGTGACACTCATGTGTCGCATTATCCTTCCCATAGAGTAAAAACAGAATATTAAAGATTTCGATGTTAGTTTTGGTACTGGATAAAGTGAAAGGTACCTGCAGACTGTCGATATCATCACATGATATACAAATACCCTAAAACAGAACCAGTCCTCAGATAGATAACACGGCATTGACGACTTTACGACTCATTTAAGTTAAATTATATTCTTTCATTGATGATGAAAAGCAAGGTTCCATACAGAAAGCATTTACAAACCTCACAAACAGAATTGTGATTAACTACAACTTTTCACAACGTTTCAGTCGTTGCACAGATACTTGACATGTTTGTTGACGAGGAACTGAAATAAATAGTGGTATGATTGTGCATCAATTCAACTTGTTACAGTTCATAGCGACACGATAGGGTGTAACCAAACAATAAAGAAGACAAGGAAATAATAGGATAATAAGGAGGCTACAAGTGTATGATGATGCAATTCTGAAGATCTAGTCAGGTGCATATGTGCCTCTGCCATATCATGTAGTTTCCAACCATAGATTTTAATGCCGTCGTGGGAAACCAACATCCCTTTACACCGTTTCGACCAACAGTCAGAAGCTTCAGGTATTGACATCATATCTCGGTCTGGCAATACTTAGCTCCTTCCAACCTGGTCTTGCATGGATGAACTTTGAAGCCTAGTGCAGTGGTAGAAAAAAACCACTGTATAAGGACTAAAATAGAGTACAACCAACTGAATAGGTGGAAGCCTGTTTAATGTGTTGTGGATTACATACGAGTTAGTGTATGCGAACTCGTTATGCACTGACCGACAGTCAAATGCCTAAATAACTCAGATTCTAGCTTTTCACTAGGAGTATATAGCATCCTACCCTCACTCTAACGCTTATCCTGTCAAGTCTGTTAAAATTACATATAAGTTTTTAAATAGTCCAGTGACGGAATGAAAACAGTTAAAAGATCATAAGACATCAAAATAAACTTCGTTATCAACTTGAACCGCAAATCTTCCTCTACTGATACCCAAACCTTACTGGACATCGTCTCGTTCATATTATGAATTGAAATACACTCAACATTCACGTACACTGGGTAGCAGACTACACCTATTGTGTGATGGCTAGTGATCCAATGTGGCTACCCAGACATCAGTAGGTGGAGAGAGATTCGAACCTAATCCACTGATTAGAAGTCGAATGAACTACAGCTCAACGCATTATATTGTATGTACACCATCAATACAACAATGATATTTTACGAGGATTCACGAGCGTAAACCTACAGTATACTTGGACAGTGACGCACTTTTTACCAATAAAATCGTATCACAATAAACAATTTGCACGTCACATTACAGTTCTCAGCCAATACATCATGTTATAGTCCTACCCCAACCATATTAACCCAGTTAATCAGACACGCATCGGACAATGGTTGTGGTCGTAGATATGAATCAGTTACATATGTGCCTAAAACAGGACACGTCGCCAGGATGAAGAAGGAGACAGAAAATATATCAGTAATAAAATGTCCGCAAGATACAAATCACTGGATAATGACTTCGTACTTCATTTTTCATATAGCCTACATACATTTCTTAAACTTAATGAACACATACACCATAACTTTAGTATATAGTCTACTATAAAAGTACAGGCAGCCATAAATATCTTACGATAACCATCACTAAAGTGGACGAGCAGATAAGTGTGAAACATTGCAAATTAGCGCATCATTTTAATCCTTTCACAGTTCGCGGCAACACACCCAAAGGACATAAACAGTAAGAATGGCAACAAAAAATGAAGGTTAGCGAGAGTGTCAAAAAGGGCAAACATCTGTACCACCATTACCAGTTGCGAGCCAAGTTACCAAACGTCGGTTCTCATCAACTCGTGGACATCGATAGAGTGGGATACACTATCTTAAGCAGTTCAGATCATCAGTCAAAGACTTCATGATTTTAGACAGTGCAATTAGACGACGAAGCTAATCTGAACAGTGTGTGGCCTACTTGCCCAACGCACTTTGAGCAATCTGATCACACACTTGCTTTTCAAGCCAAGTGATATAAAAGTGAAGAATGGAAGGATAAATAGAGCAACTAGGATAATAGAGCGTCAAAATTGAGAGAGATGAGAACAAAAGAAAAGAATGGCATAATTGATCCTAATCTTGGTATGAAGAAAAGTTTACCAAGGTAGATGTACTGCAAAGACAGATTGTTTTCGTGTACACAAAACCGGTTTCAATTTCCGCATGACTATCACCACTTCCACATATCCTGACTTGACAAACAAATGTGTGATCCGACTGTTCTAAATGTATTGTGCAAATAAATCACATTGTTCACATAAGCTTCGTCTCCTAATTACACTGTCTGGCTTCATTAAAGCGACTAATTGTTCCAAACTTCATGGACTGTCATCATGTTTCACTCCAATCACTCTTAGTTTCAACTCATTGGTCTAGACAGCCGACTTCCAAGGTTTGAGCCATAGAATACGTATGGCTCAATACGTAGTGCACGGACGCAACACTTGGTTGCTGAGTTTTGTGGCTTTAATAACTTAGGCAAAATGACTGACGGAGGCAGACGATGAGTCGGCATGTGCAACACATACCCAAGACATCTAAGTTAGTCAAGGTTCATCGTCAGTCAAGTCAGGCAACACCAGCATGAGACGCAGCATTACCGCGTAACAGCCCGATTCGCCACAATTCATATCAACACATCAAAACAGAAGGCACCAAGATGAAATATAGGGAAATGAGAAGAAAATTAATTAAAAGTGGTGGGTCATAGGAGGGAAGGAAGAGAGAGGAAAACAATAACGAAGTTCGAGATGCTAATCAAAATGAATTGCCTTCCTTGCCCAGACTACATGCCTACTATATAACACTGTCCACTGTTTGCTCTCACCACAGGTGTCCAATGTTGCACAAGCACGTTTGATCGAAAACAGATAGCCCCTTCATCTCGTCCACTATTCTTATAGAACACAATATTGATGAATATGTTATCTCTCACAATCGAGTGGTACTGATCAACAGACGATGAATTAGGTATTGAAAAAGAACTGTTGGTAAGCAAGCATATATTTACAATAATGGATCACATTCATAAACTGGTTATATCATTGTGCTTCTTAAACCTTTTTAGAAACCGATGAAATAATTGGTTTGGGACGCGTTTTAAACAATAATTTCCTGCGAATGACAGAAACAATTTCATAACTTAGTTTCCCTGAGGTAGCACATTTTTTTGTGATAAGCATTGGTTTCTCTAAGTTAATTAATTTGCCAAATAGGACGTGATGACCAATAAGGAAAACTGGATCACCAGTCTGGAAAAAGAAATACAGATTACAAAAGATGAAATAAAATAATTGAACCTGTTGTGAGAAATGTAGATCACCTAATGTTCTACCCTCCAGAGAATTACTTGTTTTGGACAGAATATCACCTTGTAGCTCAATCAACAGCCATTCATCGACTTCTCCACTACACAGAGATAGGGAAGAAATTACGCGTGAAATGATTTACTTTGGTCCATATATAGGTATTATCATATCTTGCGTGGAATTAAGTATACCTAAAAATAAAAAATGGAAGTAACTAATTGTAACTTATCAAAAGATAGCCGAAAGACAGGACAGTCATAAAAATTATAAAATTGATTTCGTGTATTTACGTGAAAAAAAGAACTAGACACCTAGAAAATGCAATGAGAAGTTAGAAAGTGATGTGAAAGTTAGGAGATTAACTGTGTGGCAAAATGTCTCAACCACACGACCCTCTGTACGAAAAATGAAATATTCGTACAAATTGTTGCTGAATATACATAGGAGGTCTTAGTTTATAAATGACCTGAATTTTAATAAATTTATGTATTCGTCACTAACCATCTGTATACAATACATAAAAGACCATTTTGAAGAGGATCTTACGGCTGATTTTGTGTTTCAAGATATTGGATAAAGAATATTTGCTATATACAATCATCGAACTCTTTTTTTGGAAGTTAGTTATACGCACTTTCAACTAACATCAACTGCATATCACAATTGCCACTACTTGTCAATGTATGGGCCACACACAAATAGTGAAACAACAGAATGCGATACAATCGTTCAAGTGTTATTTGTATCTGTTTACCAATGAGGCTAGTTGACGTGGGTTTCGTTCGCAAGACTGAATTTCTTCAAAGTAGAGAGGAAACGCAAACCCTATCAGAACATGAACCACTGACTTTCAGAATATCAGAAAGGCGTTTAATCGATTAACTGACTAGATCTCATTGCTAACCCCATCTGTTCCAGTGGGTGACGGTTGGCAGGAGAGTGAGTGGTGATTAGATGATGTGTTCTTAGTGAAGAGTTAACTATTTCAGACTTGTTCATCTCTTCGGTCCTTCCAACCAGGCTAATAAGGCTTTTTGATCATGATAGTTATCGTTTCAGCTACTCAGTACGATCAATATCAGATGAATAGGTGTGACTTTCAGACATGAAAAAAATTGAAGGAAGTATTCAGAACACTCATTACTGACGGCTCACATGGATGAAGTAATGATGTCTAGGACTTGTTACCTTCTGCATGCACACAACGTAACAAAACGCAATGAAGTAAAACTCTAAAGAGTTAAAATGCTGATCTCATTCCTTATCTGAGTGCTGTGGATACTGCTTGTATCTTTCTTAATAACTAAAGGCACTCAGCCACCTTGTACGCATCCGTGGAGCAGGCTATGAGTTACACCTTTTGTATGAAGACTAGTGATACCATCTGGCCGCCCAAACCTCGGTAGGTGAAGTGGGTCTCGAACCCATGACCTAACGGTTCAAAGTCAAATCCATAAACTAATGAGCCAAAGCATGTATCTGCTTTGAATAGGTTGGAAAAGGGTTTGTGGTAGCCAGACCAAGACCTGACACAAGTCAATGAAGTCTTTGACTGCTGGTATGAACTGTGTGGAGACACTTCGACAGCCTGATTCGGGTACCCAAGACAGTAACAATCAGTGGTTGAGGACTCTTGGTGAAACGGCTGAAAATCAGTCACAATGGCGTAGACGTATTCATTCTTCGATGTCTTTTGAAGCTTGGATATCAACACTAGCCGTTATCTTCAAATTGTTCATTCTCTCACACAACTGCCTACCTTGATATCAGTCTTTCTCTATCCACTTGATGTTTGTATGATAGTGTGAAGTATGGCGAGTTAAACTGGGGTACTTGTTCGCGAGGTTCTGCGTTGATTCTGTCTGTCTTTTTCGTACACACTGGATTCGTTGGTGCATGTATTATCATCGATTTGGTTTCATAACACTTCAGTTAAAAGCTAATGGAAGAGCATGACTCCTGAAAGAGAAGTAGAGTACAGACTACTATCTAATCAGTATGAGGTTGATTCACAAGGTTAGTAGCTACTGATCTGAATTGTTAATAGGTGAGTTAATTCCTCAACCGGATTATGTGCTGAAGCTGAAATCGATTAGTTGAAGTATCAGCTGGGATTAAAAAGGAGATGGAAAAGTGTACATTCTCACATAGTACTACACTGGCTAAAAACTCAAAATATATATTCAGTTGGTGGAGTTGTGGTACACTAATCTGGACTTCATCTACTAGGATTTTGAAAGTCATGCAGTAATACAATCGTCACACAAAGTATGGTTAATTGAACGAACAAAGTTCACCCACTAACCATGTACATATTCATGCAATAGGCAGTGAGCCATATCTATTGTGTAGCAGCTAATGATACTACGTGGCTGCTCGGCAGGTAGAGCGGTGTTTGAACTCATGACCCATCGGTTAAAAGTCAACCGTCCAGACCAATGGTCCACAGATCCACTGTGGCTTATTTTTCAGTGCATGGGACCCGAACTTGGTTGCCTAGTTTGGTGTATATAAGTATGTTTGAGGCCATCATAAAATATTTCAAAAACCATGATGGAGCCAACACAATATGAACCTGCTTTTCTCCTACTGAGTAGTTAACGACTGGAGCTTCCTACTGCAGTAGGTGGTATCAGGCCTTCTAATTAACACATTCAATGAGAAATGAGATCTTCAAGGAGATCTGATTCAAATATTAACACAGACCAACCAACCAACAAAATTCTTTATTATCGAGAACTGAATGATTGCATCAGTGGAACCACTAAAAACGACCGATTCTATTCCCACCACCGAATCCAAGTCCTACTTCCAAGACGTTTACAGTAAAGTCTTCAATATGCCATCAGTCTGAAGACAAAACGGAAATCCATGTCATAAACAGACTGCAATCTTCATTATCGTTTTTTGCATATTCCACTGTAACAGGATTTAATTTTTAACAACAAACGTTTCCGTCATTCTTATGAGTACTATTATTGGAAAATTCCAGGTTTAAGGTATGAGATAATGCTTAGACTGTTAAGGTAGACAAAAAAAGATTGTAATAATAAATTAATAAGGAGAAGCCAGGAAGTAGGATGGTTTCGCATTCGAGTGGTACTGATCAACAGACGATGAATTAGGTATTGAAAAAGAACTGTTGGTAAGCAAGCATATATTTACAATAATGGATCACATTCATAAACTGGTTATATCATTGTGCTTCTTAAACCTTTTTAGAAACCGATGAAATAATTGGTTTAGGACGCGTTTTAAACAATAATTTTCTGCGGATGACCGAAACAACCTGGAAACCTAATGTCAGTGAGGTAGTAATTCTTCAGGTGTTGAGAATGGGCTTTGGGAATTCGAATAGCTTTACGAGTGGCACCATTTTTTTTGTAAGTGGTGTGACTGTTTCAATCTTCATTTACTGTTGCCGTTTCTTGGCCGAGTAACTCTTGGCCCCACCACAGTAATGCAGACAGTCGACAGGAAATGAAATGATTTTTTATTCTTACTATGCAAGCCGGAATATACAGCGGCTGATGTAGACAAACGAAAGTTTGCCCACAGAATAAAGTGCATAAGCCAGAAATGCATCACACCAAACTGAGTAGTCGCAAGCCATCTTGGTATCCGCCCACGTCGACATCTGCCAGCGGTGAAACTACTTGACACTTCTCGGGCCATATCAGTTCATAAGGGCAGCTGTGAGCGTGAATTTGACTGGAGAAACTTTGAAACCCTGTACAGAGGAAGTGAAAAGGATGCGATTGAACCTGTAGGAGTTTGGTGTACAGATTAGCCAGTGATCAACCGGCATGTTGACGATGACCCATTTTGTCAACCATTAAATAGCGAGGAGGTCAAATTTTAGGTCATTAGGACGGTCAGCGAAACTACATATGGGGACTACGATATGCCTTATTCCTATAGTTCACATGACAAAATAGTCTCATTAAGGGTCGCAGAGCAGCCTGCCGGGACGTATTCCACAGCACATTTGAAATCAGCAAACGGCAGCGATGCGCTCGTTTGGGGCTTCCTTGCAATTCATTTTCACCCCGGAAGTCCCAGGGTTGATGGCGCATCTCCAACACCTTCGCCTGCGTCATAGCACGCTTCGGATTTCGCGTTTTACACATGAGTACAATATTTTTGTCCACCAATCACAGTCTATAGAAGGAACGGCCGATTCACCCACGCATAAGACTGTTTAAGGCCTTACCGTGCACTCTCGGCTGGGGGGAACCTAGATTGACTTTTAGGTCCTCGGAAGGGGCTCTAAAGTCGAAACCTGTCACATTCGTTATCAATACGTTGGATCTAGATGGGACATCGGCCTAGCACCAGATGGCTGCCGTGAACCTGGAGATAACCATAACATGACCACTTTCATCAAAGGATGCAAGGCGCCGGATGAAGCTGACACTGGTTGAACATGCCGATGATCGCACCCGGTTGCTGCCCCGACGTGGCGTACAAAGGCCAAGGAAACTTGTACATACAGTAGCGTATCAAGGAAAGAATTACGTGATGCCTCTCTTGTCGGCATGTACCAGTCAAATGGTGGTGTGCTGAAGCCTGCTGTTATCCGTCCAGAGATTTATCTCATTCTGGAGCAAGTCCCCCTCCTCACATTCAGGGCCTCGAAATATTAGGATTAGGTTAACAATAACAATGGTAAATGCTTTATTCCAAACAATGTGTACGACAGCACGGGATTCTTAGCATGTAATTTTTCGACAACTTCACTCCCAAAACAATACTCTCGAATGAAACGGTTATTGCATACGGATGATGTTGATAACAACAGTATTCAAGGTAATAATTTGAACCTGCCAGCTTGTTCCGGATAGGCATCTGGTCCCTAATGAAGAATCAGCAGTGTGCAAGCGAAATTTTGGTGGTGGCGATTCATTCAGAGGGTACGAACATCTGCAACTTAGGCTAGGCATCAGACGGATAGAAATATAACTTACATTTTTACATTGAAAAGTCCATTTCCAAATAACGTGACGCTTTCTCTGCTTCACCACCAAATCTAAAAAGGCAGCGTTGGAAGCAGCGTGACAATGTGCAAAAATGCATGATAAGTTCAAAGGACATGCTCAAACGGTTGAAACGGATTTAAAGAAAAGAATTTGAGGAAGAATGTTCCATGGATTACTTTGGTAGCTCAAAGTTAAAGCTGGCTGCCATATCCTTCGCAGTTTCGTGGGCAGTACACCACTCTGAATGCCTCGCTTTCATTTGCAACCGTTTCTATGGATCGTGTAGTTAACATGTTATTGATATAAAGGATTTAAGGAATTGTCCTCGTACAAACTTAACAGGCACCGAGACCGACTGCTAATTATTTCTTACTTGTAACATGCCCACGAATAGGAGACCAAGGAAGAACACAACGTAGCCTGGTGGGATAGAGTATGTGAGAGATAGGGCCCAAAAACGAGGCGTTGCGAATAGCTGGCTTTTGGATCGACTACGAGCAGCGCAATGCAAAACGACAGCGTGCCAAGTAGGGTGGATGCCTAAATGTACATCTTCAGCTTGGCGATTCCGTAAAAACAATGAAGGCCAGGACCAAAGCTAAATCCAGTTAAACTA